CAAGGCATTAAGATTTGTCCCCCTCGGGACATTTTCCTTCAGTATTTATGGCCCACAACTTTTTTGCATCATCTGCACCATAAATATTAAAATATCCACCCCGGCTCTTGATGCCTACCCTCAAACAATGAGCTGGTGGAGCAGCATGTTGCAAATACTAGCATGCTGCTTAGTGTCACTTTATAAAGAAGAGACTGAGCTCTTCCTGTCATCTGGACAAAGGGAATTCAGGGCGATCAGCATTCCCTTCCATTATATAGTAGTCCAGGCAAGGACTTTAGTCAGCTGTGTTAGTGACATTAGCAACATTGTATAAGCAACTAAAACCGCAGAACATGTGATTTTGAGTTTTATTGGTTGTATACATGGGTCCAGGAAGGAATTTTTTCCCCTCTTGCTGCTAGAGGTGTTGCAGAGGTGGGGGGCACTGGTCTTCTTCTGAAGCCGTGGGTATTGGCTGCAGCCAGAGATGGGGATTTTGATTGGGGTGTACCAGTGCTAGGATTCAACCCCAGAGATTCTTGGCTAGAGGGTCTTGCTACTCTGTTCTGCTAAAACCCATTGCCACATATGAGATTACAAAACATTTTTACCCCATGGTCAGATTAGCATGGACCATAGGTGAGGGTTGCCTTCCTCTGGGGAGGGAGGGATGGACATACAGGGATTAGTGAAGGAATTGGTTAGATACTCTCAAAGAGTCACAGTAATGCTTTCTGCCAGTGTTTTTATGGAATATGCTCTCTTTGTTTCAATGTGCTTCAAGGTTTACTAAATATCCAGGGCTCTATTAGATGAAGAAAACAAAGAGACCCAGTGATTTCTCTTGACTATGCTTTTCTGTTTCATACGTTCTTGGCAGCTTGAGATCATGGTAGGGAATCTCAACGGGGCCTCTGGCATTTCAAATGTTTCACATGATAGGTTTTGTTTCTGGCCTATGATTTTGATTAGGTCATATTTAGAGAGGACAAAGCAGATTATCACATTTTACACTCTTCTGATGAATGGAAATAAAGTTGCTAGTGGTCAAAGGAGAATAATGAGACTAAATGGAGATGTGCTGATGAGACAGTATGTGTCTAGGTTATGGTTAGGTTAGGACTAGGGATTTGGTAGGAGGCTGAATCAGAACTAGACCTTTGATGGTTTACACAATTTCAGTGTTGGAAGTTTCCATTGCACAATTTCCACCGTCTGGGTCCTAGTAAGACTTTGGCTATATTCCACTCAGAACCAGAAAGTTAGCTGTTTTTAGGTCTAAATCTGATATGGTACTAAAATCACAAAAGGTGATTGCAATCAGGGAATTTTAATATGACTCCCTGCCTAGGCAGGAAAGTGCTGGGGTCAGATCACCTTGGCCAGATGCCTATCCAGCCTTCTCTTAAAGGCCCCCAAGGTAGGGGAGAGCACCACTTCCCTTGGAAGCCCAGTCCAAATTTTGGCCAACCTTACCGTAAAGAAGCTTTTCCTGATATCTAGCCTAAATCTGTTCGCTGTCAGTTTGTGACCATTGTTCCTTGTTACCCCAAGAGGTGCCCTGGTGAACAGAGCATCCCTTTCTGTGTCCCCCTAATGAATTTGTAGGCGGCCACAAGATCACCTCTCAGCCTTCTCTTGTGGAGGCTGAAGTGGTCCAGGCACCTTAGTTTTGCTCATAGGGTTTGTCTTGTAAGCCCATAGGGGGGTGGCCCTCCTCTGGACCCTCTCAAGTCTATCAACATCCTTCTTGAAGTACAGCGCCCAAAACTGGACGCAGTACTCCAACTGCGGTCTCACCAATGCCGCATAGAGGGGAAGTATCACCTCTTTGGATGTATTTGTCATGTATCCGCTAATACATGATAAAGTGCAGTTAGGTTTGCTGATGGTTTCGTCCCACTGACAACTCATGTTCATCTTGGAGTCCACTGTAACTCCAAGATCCCTTTCCGCTTCTGTGTTGCTGAGGGGGTCACTTCCCAGCCAGTAGGTGTGCTGGATATTTTTGCGCCCCAGGTGCAGCACTCTGCACTTGTCCTTGTTGTACTTCATCCTGTTGTGTAACTGTCCAGTTTTCTAACTTGTCCAGGTCTGCCTGCAATCGTTCCCTACCCTCCGGAGTGTGCACTTCACCCCACAATTTAGTATAATCTGCAAACTTGGACAGAGTACACTTCACACCCTCATCCAAGTCACTGATGAAGACATTGAAGAGTACAGGTCCAAGGACTGACCCCTGCAGGACCCCACTACCCACATCCTTCCAGGTAGATAGCGACCTATCTACTACCGACTTGGAAGGATGTGGTATCTCATATTAGAGGTACTAAACTTAATGCACTGTAGCAAAGGTGCATTAATGAGCATGTAGTGTAGGAGCAGTCCAAATGGATTTACCTAACAAAGGACTTCAGTGCACTTGCTCCTGCTAGGGAGTAACTTACTTGTTACTGATAAAATAAAGTATGTACATGGAGGAGTAAGGATGTCCCAATTTGGGTCCTTTTTAGCATTAGAGTGGGGTGTCAAATTAGTTGGGCCACATGGACCCCATGGGGCTTTTCATGAGTTGAACCTAGAGCATGGGGCTTCCCACAGGTCAGATGAAGCAAGAGGGACAGTGGTGGCATTAATCTCACGGCTGCCCAGGCCATTATTTTGGTGTGGCTTCAGAACCCAGGGAGTTAATGCCTCTGCTGCTTGCCCTCCTTTTTCCCTGTTGCTGATATTTGTCACCGGGGACAAGAAGAAGCCCAATTTTGGTGATGAGTAAAGGCCGGGGAGGGAGTGGAAGGTGAGCAGTCTTAACTCCTTTGGTCATGGAGCTGCGCTGAAACTGCAGGGACTGATGCTATAGCAGGGGCTCCAGAAGCCACAGCAATGAGCCAGCAGACTGAATCCAGCCCACAGAGGGGGTGATCCAGTCTTCAAGAAGCCCCACAGGCTGGATGACCCACCTCAGTGGGCTGGATATAGCCCCCAGGCTGGATGTTTGACACCCCTGTATTACAGTATTCTGCTGGTATGCTCCAGGAAGTCAGTGGTCTGTGTTTTTCAATGTGCATCGTAAATCTGACTTACTCCCAGAGTCAGCACAGGTTAAACAAACTTCTAGTGCCACTGAGAATAATTCTTGAGAGTTACTCCAGTTTCAAACACCAGCAACAACCAAACTTCTCCATTTAGCTTACCATTTTTCTTTCTGCAGCTCTTTAAGGTTAGGGGAGTGATTGGAAAGCTGCTCCTGGTTGACCCATGTCCAGTGAACAGTCTGCTGGACAGGGACTTACTCATGACTTTCTGTGTGACTTTGGGCCAGTTACTTCCCTCCTCTGTGCCTCTGTTTCCCTTCCAGCCTTTTGGATACTTATATTTCAAGTGCTTGGAGGCATGGGCCACTTCTTATTGTGTATATCTTTAATACCTACAGTACAAAGAACTGATAGGCTGTATCAGGTTACAAATGACAGTAGCAGCATCAAGGAAATAGAACACCTGGCGGAGATGCAAGCAGACGCTGCATTAGATCCACTTGGAAATGATATCAGGCTAGAACATGCGTTTGGGGGTTTGGCCCAAATGAATGCGATTTTCAACCATGTCTGCATGTGTGTAGACAGGGACAGGTTCCCTGTTATTTCATATCAGCTGGTCATAAGCAAACCCTGCCAGGGTCAAGGGCTAAAGACTTGGGTACTCATGTCCTGGTGACATTGCCCTTCACTGACACTGTTTCCTTTCCTTACTGTTCTCCTCCCCTTGCACCCTTGGGTACAGATCTCTGGTGCCTCTCAGTGACATTTCATAAGATGGGGGCCTGACCTAAAAAGTATTATTAAATAAGTATTCATGTGTTGGATATCTGCCTTGACTCAACTTATCATCCTGCCTGAACCAAACTCTCACTCTGTTTATCCCGTCAAACCTACTTACAGCAAACCTGCCCTGTGGAAGTTCCAGCATCCGAATAATTTACCAGTGTCGCCTGGCCCAAGTACAGCATTGCTACGACAAGACAGTGTCATGCCTTTGCATGTGACATTAGCATGTGGCCACATGGTGACAGCATGTTTGCATGACACTATGCAGTGTCATGGTCACACAGGGGATTGATGTCACATTGCAATACCACTGCTTCGTGACATGGTCTGAATGGTTAATGTGGCTGGGCCTAGGACTGCCCTTTCAAAATGTGGATGACTCCACCAAAATCAGAGTAGGGAGCAGCCTCTGATATACCACAATTAATTCAGTATCACAGAAGTGCATAGAATTGCTCCAGTGCAGCAAACACAGACCATGTTGCCAAACTGCTGGCCTTGCTAGAACTGCAGCTCCATCGCATTAGTAGCAACGGAATACAAGATGATGATCAGACAGAGTAAAATCATCATGTCACAGCAGTAGGGCCCATTAGAAATGAAATGTTCCTACTGGGATATTTTATTTACACACTTCAGTAGAGTGGACACCAAAAGGTTTTGCTAATGCTTCATGGGCTGCTAATTTCCTCTCTGACCTCTTTTGTTAGGGAGTGACCCCAGCTAGAATCTCTGTGCAATGAATGCCAAAGCTTGACACAGGCCTGGGTTAGGGGTGACAATGAGGCCTCTATGGGCTTTAATCAGGCTCCAGTTTGGAGTTTCAGAACAGGGAGAATTTGTGTGGCTCTCAAAAGATCTGGGTGGCACAATAAGGGAGGCCCTGGGGTCTCCCAGGAAGGCAGAGGCAGCCCAGAGAAGACAGGCTAAAGGATTCGTCAGGCGGGGAGGCGGGGGAGGCAGGCTGGAGGATGGCTTCCTTTGTGAAAGGCTTTCTTTAGAAAGGAAGGTTTTTCTGAATGCCCCGTTAGACGACCCAATCAGGTCCTGGCAGATGGATATCACAGGCATGCTGCTTATTCATGGCAAGCTGCAGCTTTTATCATTACCCCCTCCCCCAGCCTTTTATTCATTTTAAGGCTAATTTGTTTTGTTAATGTTTTCTTGCCCTCCTCTTTTCTTTCCCCCCTACAGACTGTGAGTCATACTGCAAGGCGTCCAAAGGGAAACTGAAGATCAACATGAAAAAGTACTGTAAGAAAGACTATGGTGAGTTACACATTCTTGGACTTAGCTGCATTTTTAAAGTGAGGCAAATTTTTAAAAATATCTTTCCTGCAACATAATAAATGTCCTTCTCACGATACACAATAGAAAGGGACGAGCCAGGAATGAGCTCTAGCGCGGCTGAACGCTGGAAATGTTCTTCCCAACACAGCCCCGGGTTGTGCAAACGAGGGGAGTGTTTGGGACACGGACCCCAGACATTTCCAGATGGACTTTGATGAGCTTTCTCTCAGGGAAAGAGCAGGGAGGTCAGCATTCCCCTGCTGCGTCGTGTCAGCTCGGATGAAAACACTGGCTAGTCCTTCCCCACAGTTTGAGTATATCGTACTGTGCGTTTCAGTCAATATTCTTCTATATTGTAGAGATCAATTCAGACTCGATAATACGAGGCCTTAATACAGTTTATGAAGCAGAGATGCACAGTCAGACTCCAACAACGTTCGGTGACATTTAAGTGTATGTGTGATGCATATTGGATATGGGCTCCCAGGGGCCCCAGCACAGCGTTGTCTGCTATCCAGAAACTGTGGGGAATCCCACTCTGCCTCACTTTCTCATCTCCCATGACCTACTGAGCCCCATATGCCTGTTACCCAGAATCCTTTGGGGCCCGTCCTCATCACCACCATGACTGTGTTCTCTATCATGAACAGTGGCTTTTTAAAAAATTGGGTTTAAATGTGGTTTCTGTAGAGTAGCAACCCTCCTGCTTCATCATCTGAATGTGCGTACTCCTCCATCTTCTACTTTTCCAGGCACAGCTCTCTTCAGAGCACTCAGGTTTTGTCTCCTTGTTTTGTTTCCATGTTAAAGGTTATAGGTAGGATTAATGGAGTAAAATAAACTGGGACAGAAAGTAAGAAATACCCGTGATCTCTCCCTCTCTTGTGTTTTAAGAGAAGTCTGGGTCCTTCCTGCAGTGGAAAGTGATGACTGTACACGCAAGGGTGACATCTAGATAGCAGCCAACAGTCAGATCATGTCTAATTGAAACCTTTCCCTCATTTGCTTGGAAAGTTACTTTTATTCCAAATGAGACAGCAGAATCTAATCAAACAATTGCAAATGCTGATTGATGTCTTTCATGCTTTTCCACTTCCAGAGTGCTAATTTTATCTGCTATTAGACTCACATATTGGAATGACTGGACAAGTTAGTAAGAGGGATGGTAGTTTCTCTTGCTTTTTGGACTGAGCAAAACAGACACTTCTCAAATCAATGGAGAAATGCCAGTTTACATCAGCATAGAATTTGGCCTGTTAGCTGTTGGCGGCAAATTCTGGGGGCTTATTTTGATTTTCTTTTCTTTTTTTTTTTAATGTGTATAAAATAAAACCAACGAGTTCCTTAGCAATTTATTTGCCCCTAAAATGTAGGGATGGTTTTCTTTGGAGAAAGGGATGTGGTGGACAATCTGATCCCTCCATTGTACTTCGGTTAGAAATCTCAGGGTTTTTTGTCTACTCTGTTTATTATCTGATGACAAAGCACTATGATGCTGGAAGACCTTTCTGTGTGTCCTTTTCTGGATCTGTGTCCAAGAATCTTAAACTTTTTTGTTTTAAAAAATGCAGAGAAATGTCATAGATAAAGAGACTCTAAGGATAGAAGGGGCCATTAGATCATTTAGCCTGGCATCCTGTATAAGCATTGTCCATAGCATTTCATCTAGTTACGTCTGTAGAAAGCCTAATACCGATATTCTTTTAACCGTCAATGGTACTCTCATGCTTACATCTTCTTTTTCGTAAACATATCTTTCTAGAAAGATTTAATGACATTATCAATATTTTTAATAACTTCTCTGGCAAGTCCCAGGCACAGTTCCCATTGACTGTCATCTTCAAAGCCTTCTGATCCTGATCCTCCTCTTAGTTACACTGGTAGTAGGATTTCCAAGAGTTCCCAGGATTATGCTAGTAGAAGGATTTTCAGAGAATTCAAAAGACTTTCTCTGGGTTTATATGATTCTAAAAGATTGTAAAAAATTCTAAAAAAAAAATTACTTGAGTCTTGGCTTTCCAGAAGATAAGCCTTCCTTCCCAAATGTTGCCAGTGTAGTTGAGGTCATCTCAGCTACTCCAGACATCAGTAAACTGATTTAAGCATCTGGCATTATGGAAAAATCATGTATTATTCATTAGGGATCAAATCAACAGGCTCTGTTTAACATAGATCTCTAGATATTATTCTAAATATAACTGTAAGGAATGAGATTGTTTCTACAGTTAGTTTTAAAGCATCCGATAGAATCTGACAGTAGGGATCTGGTTTTCCAGTAAATTCTATAGGATAGTCCAAAAACACCTACAACAAAGCAATCATTTTCTGTTTAAAAGTGTAGTAGCAGAATTTGGGAGAAGGAGGCTGTCTATAAGAGAAGTGCTAACATTCAGTTCTTTTGCTAGGTCAAAGGCCTGATCCAATTCCCACTCAGGTCAATGAGAGTCTTTCCATTCACTTTAATGGGTATTGGCATTTTAACTGGAGACTGGCAAGACCTAGGCCATCTTCCTGTTTACACTGGCAATGTAATAAGGCTTTGAAATGGATGTGATTTACAGTTGTGGCAACGTTATATTGCCAGAGTTGTGTAAAGGGGTATTAGCATAAATGAAAATCAGTGCTGCTGGCTGATACATCCATGAGTTGATCTAGGATTGTGGCGAGGAGGTTATAGCCACATCCCCTTCGGCAGTGTGGCACGTCTACAGTGAAGAGAGCTCACTGTGCATGTCCCACACTACCAAAGGAGGTATGCCCACCCCCCCTACCCCTAGCCATGATCCTACACATGGCAGGGAGTTCAGAGCTCTCAGCTCACCAGCTAGTTGATACAGGATCTGGCTGGAGTCTCTGCTTTCACAGGGCACCAGAGCCCAGGGGGTGAGTGCCACGACTGTTCATCCTCCCTGTCCTCCCTTCTCCCTTCGTTCAGCAGCAGGTGAATAGAGGGGATGAAAGTCAGGGGACGGGATTCAGCAGCAGGGGAACAGAGGGGATGTATTCCTGCAGTTCTGGACACTAGGGACTGCATGCAGTCGCCAGTCATCCTCCTTTTTCCCTTGCCGATAAATTCAGGGAGAGGGAGAGCTAGCATCGGCAGGACTCTGGTCTCTGGAGCTGTGTGAGAGTAGGGGCTTCAGCCCGAACTTGCACCAACCAGCTGGTGAACTTGGAGCTCATGCCATATCCACAGACCCCAGCAGGAGCTACACTGACATGCCAGTGAGCTCAGAGAGCTCATTGCACATATGGCACACAGTCAAGGGAGGGGCGATGGTAATCGCACTACTACACCCCCTGGATCCACCCTCAGATCCATCTCCACTCGCTTTTGCCTCAAGGGGATGAAGTAAATGGACTGGTGCAGCCTTCATTATGTAAAGGGGTGCAAACCTCCAACTGGTATAAGTCAGCCTAGCTCCACTGACCTCAAAAATACTAATTTATTTATGGTGAATGGTAATTGCTAGGGTCTTCTGCTTTTAAGTCATTTATTAGGTTCAGTGTATTACATGCTCCCAGAGTAGTAATGGGCATATTTGAAATCCATTCTATAAATTAATGTAGGATTAAGTAACTAAAAGATACTCTTTGACAGTACTCTATTTCTGTAAATGCTGTGGTTGTCACATGCACACCTATCCGAGTTTCCACAGGTGGCGAAAGGTATCCCCATCACTGTCTCTTTCTTGCCTTGCGCTTAGATATTATAGCTTAAGTCAGGGGTGGGCAAAATAGTAGATCCGGCCAGTGGCCAGACTCCATTTCCCAGGAACACCTGCCTGCATCACTGTAGCCAGTTTCCAAGGAGACCCCAGCAGCAGCGGGGCTGTGACTGTGGGGCTGGTAGGGCCTGCGGCTGGGTTGGGAGCTGCTGCGGGGCCGGGGCTGGCATCTTGCAGCAGTGACAGTGTGGTCCAGAGCCAGGGCAAAGCTGTGATCCGCCGCCTGCATGCTCCCACTTGGGGTGTGCAGGCAGCAGATTGCAGCTGTGCTCCAGCTCCAGGCCACGTTGTCACCCCCGCAAGATCCCAGCCCTGGAGCAGCTCCACACCCAGCCACATGCCCTGCCAGCAGGGCTGGGGTTGGTCTCCATGGAAACCCCAGCCCCCTGCTGTCACAGCCCCTTGGAAGCTGGGGTCTCCATGGAAACTGGCTGCAGTGTAGTGGGCAGGGGCTGCTGGGAAATGGAGTCCACCATGGGCCCAATCTGGGCCGCAGACCAGACTTTTCCTGCCCCTGTGCTAAGCGCTGCACTGATGCATAGATTTAAGTGGCTGTTGTGTTAGTCCAGGGCCAGTTTTCGATGTGAGGCCTGGAGCAGGCCCAGATGAGCTCAACTGAATGCTGGAGGCCTCTGAAGGAAAATAAAAAAGCATCCTCTCTGTATCAAAGTTTCCAGCAGCAATGGCAGTGGCACCTCCTCCTCACTCCAAACGCAAAGTCACAACAGCAGGCACAGCACATTCTGGAAGTGTTTGCAAAGGCAGAACTAATTTCCATTTAACACTCCTTCACAACGTCTTTTTCATACAAGGGAATTCCTGGCAGTAGCTGTGTTCAGGGATGCTCTCGTTTGGCTTTGTGTTCTGACAGCTTCCAGTGAGTTCACGCGAGCAAAGGCACATGGAGGGGCAGTGAAGTACTAAGAAGACCATGTCCTTGTATATGTCCTCTCTGCCACTTCCATTCCCCTGCCCCCGCTCACTCTTCACTGCAAAATAAAACTCTACCCTGCATGTACAGAGTTAAACCCTGAATAATTTATAATAGTTTTCTGTCAAGGAAGGAAGGGGGATGTGAACTTTGAAACAGAAGCAATCAGGATTTTCTCATCCAATCCCACAGCGTGGGGTTCAAATGTTTATTCTTGCTTTATGCCACATGGCAAATGTGTTCTGAAGTTTAAATGAGACATTGTCCCCTTTCTGCAACAATGAACAGGCTGGGCTGGAATGCATTCACTACAGAATATT